GCCACTGTGGCAGCCTGGGGCCAGCCAGCGTGGAACTGCCAGCTCAGCCTTTTTGAAGGGTGCTTCTGCCAGGTCCACTTTGGGGCAGAAGCAGAGCTTGCTGTGCTTGGCAGGGGAGGCAGCACCCCTGTGGGCACTGCCTGCCCAGGGAGCCTTCACCCCCTGGCAGGCAGTTCCTGCAGTCGGTGCTCAGCCAGCTGGTGAGTGCTGGGCCATGTCATGCCCTTCCTTCGGTGGTAATTCCTGGAAGAATGGTGACTTTCCGTCCCCATCCCTCGTCACCCTCTGACACCCTCCTGCTGTGCAGCCCAGGCTCGGACAGACGCTGCTCCTGGCACATGACAAACCTGAGCATCCCCTCCTGGTCCCCATGACACTGGCCTGGGGCCATCACAACCAGCACTAGTGCTTGCTAGCACAAGCACAGTAGAAGATGCTCAGAAAGCATTAAACAGCACTGGTTTGCCACTGGGCACCAGGGGTTTGCTGCAGTGACCCAGCAGCTCTGGGGCTGATGGGCAGCTCCTGGTTCCTGAGGGCTGGTGCCATGTCCTTGGGCCAGTGCTGGTCCCCTGCCTAGCAGAGGGGATCTGCAGGCTCCAGAGCCCAGGCTGGGGTTGGTTGGGGCCCCCCTGGAGACACAGCAGGAGAAAGGCAGCCCTGGGAAAGCGGCAGGTGGGGACACGCTGCTGTGACACACGGTGATGGGGGGACACAGCTGTGGGGAGAGGGGACTGCCTGCAGGGGATGGGGCCATGCCCTGTGGGCATTGCACCCACGGGAGAGGTGCAGTGGCCCTGGCCAGGGTTCGTGACAGGGGATGGCAGGTTTTACACCAAGGTTACTCAGCCCAGAGCTCCTCCATCATGCCTGGGCTTCCTGCTCCTTGTCTCCTCACCCACTTGCTTGCAACAGCTTATGCTGAGCACCCCATGTTTTTCCAGGATGGAGAAGGAGACAGGATAGCAGAGGGATCTCCTTGAACTCTTTGTAGAAGATCAGGCTGTAGAAAGTAGCTCTGTAGCTTGAGCTTAAGGAGAAAACTCAAGATCTTTTCTTGTATCGTTCAGCATTCGTGAGAAACAGCACGTAGAGCAAACAGTATCCCCTATTTTCTGGCCAGCTTTGCTTTCAGCCCCGTGCTTGAGCTGCATGGGATTTTTGCTCTCCTCTCCTGTGTTTCGTAACGCTGTCAGTGTTTATTCTCTTACTCGTTTGTACTGCTTTCCCATTCGAAATGATCAACTGTTGGTATAAACTCACCTAGGGAGCAATTACTGTAAGCCTAACCCAAACAGGCACTGGGGGTGCTCCATTAAGCAATATAACCACCCTCCCCTCTTGGCTGCTCCCAGAGGATACAATATTTACTTTTCAGCTCTCTGCTATTCATACTGAGCGCACTTCGGTCAGCGTGCCAAGAATAACACAAACCATAACAACGGGCTTAAGCGCTAAGATGGAGTTCCTGACTTTACAAAACAAAAAAAAGCCAACCTATTATTTTGCCTTTGCTAAGAAATGCCTGGCTGCAGCAGAGCGAGCAGGCACCAGAACCACCCCTCTGCCTTCAGCAGAGCCATGGGTAGTATGAAATCTTCCCAAGGGAATGCAGAGAGAGGCAAAAAAAAGAGCAGTAAGCCTGGGACGTGGGTTGGCAACTGCGGTTTTTCCTTTTAATGCAGATTTTTATTAGATTGCTGCATTGTTTTGTGAGCTTTTCCTTAAGAGCTTTGCAGAGCCATGGAGGGACACGGTCCCCAGCACCTCACTTGTGAATATTTCAGCCAGATTTTTAGTAGCTGTGTCTCTGACAGTCATGAGCCTCCGTGGCTTTAATTACTAACTGCAAAGAAATTGCTGCCCAGTCCTGTTAGTCTTTTCAGTGCTGTCAGGGTTCAGTTTGTGCAGTTCTCCTCTGGAAATTATTTATTCGCTAACCAGCTGCTAATGGGGGGAGCACTTGGAGTAAATCACCTTACTGAGATATGTCACGGGAATTAGCGATGTTGTACCTAAAGTCTCAATGTTAATTTGGGCAATTTGCCTGTCGGAAGAAAAAGCTGAAACGAAGCAGTCTGGAGCTGCCAGAACTAGCTGCAGGTTTGTCCCTGGCAGGAGGCTTTGGCATTGCCCACCTGGGGAAGGACACACTCAGATTTCAGGGGCGTTCCTGAAAGCCAGATGTGTTTTTCCTGGGGCAGATGTTGCTCGCACCACTGTTGTGGCAGGTAGGAAACCAAGCCCTGGGGCTCCAGCTCCCCTCCAAACAGTTGGGCACCTTTGAACTTTCTCCCAGCTCACTCCGGATGGATTTGGCACCCTGCAGCCCTGGTTTGT